GGGGGGGGGGGGGGGGGGATAGGACGGTGGCGTTTTGTAAAGAGGTCCGAATCTAACGACTTTGCTTTTTTTTCTTGTATTCATAGTGGAGCAGATTTTTCTACCTCTATTTTTTTCTTCTTTCTCCGTTCCCTCCGTTTTTCCCTCAGATTCCTTTCCCTTTTCTTTTACTCCTCTCGCGTCCTTTCCCTTGGCTATGATTATCATTATCATTATCAATATCATCATTGTTAGTGATTGAAATCAAGAGGAAGTTATGCAGGCACATCATGCATCACATTAAGTCGGTTCCTCTTTTTCATACAGTTTACTGGAAATACACGACAATGAAATATCTCTATCGTCTATATGATTATATGTTACCTGCTCATGCTACTACTAGGTAATAAAGCCTGTCCACGCACTAGTCGTTCAGGCATCCATCCGACTACCACGTTATCACCGCATCAAAAGTTATTATGGAATCGATTTACTAAAATCGATACTCAGGTTTAATTGTTTTAGAAAATTAAGTCAACTTAATTTCTACTACATTAGCAGCCAGTGCTTTTGCATCAAGTCGAACAACACTTGTTAATTAGATCATTGTTTTTTAAAACATTTGATGACGATGATGATGATTAACACTCATAAAATTCTGAAAATGAAAGTGAATGAAAATGAGACAAAAAATCTACCGCAAAGAAAAATGATTACAATTGATTGTACTTAACCACTTGATCACTTCTTTACCAACAGGTATGCACATTCATAATTATTACATAAATTAATAACGTTCCACGTAGTGACAATTCTTCATTAAGCATTAAAACAGTACGTGCAAATATTAGTCTGTTAAAGTGCTCGTGTTCGCTGACAAATACTTCATTTACTCATTTCCAGTTCGCTGCATTTTTCAGCGCTTCAATTTCACTCTTTTCGTTATACTCCATATTTCACAACGATTAAATGAAAGACCACCATCACCACTACGTCACGTACAAGATATTTTGCAGTGGTAATCATAAAGTTTTGTTCAAAGTGGTAATGATTTAATGAATAATAATATCAATAACAATGATAATAATAACGTTGATGGTGTTTGTTAAATAACATGTATCGAATGCTTCGTATGTAATATGCAATGATACCTTTACATCCATATTGATTTATCTCATTACGAATCTATGTTTCTGAACGTTTTCAACAACGGAAAACAATTCGATTTCGATACATTTCCAATGTTAATTGAACAATACTTTATACACCAACTTTTTATCTACTTTATAAATAAATTCCAACAATACTTTTTATCTATACACCAACTCATAACTGACAAAGACAAACGGATTGGTAAATGCGGTAAATGTTTCATATAAGTTCGCAATGTGATATCATAACTTTTCATTCGTTTTGATTATCATAATGCTTTTGTTTTATTGATTATCAGTCACATATGGTTTAAACACAATGGCTGTGGAAACAAGTTTTGGTTGGTTTTTGATTTCGATAATTACGATAATTGTGAGAATTGTGAGCTACTTTGTTTTTGTATTTTCGCGTAATGTTAATTGCACTGATCCTTGTTTTTTTATCAGTTATCATCATCAAACACTACCATTATTATTATCAACACCACTTTTATTGTTTATATGCAATTAAAGCAACCGACTGGAAGCAGCCGATACGTATCACTTAAAACACGAACGATGATGGTCAAAGCATTTCTTTAAAATAAATATATGCAGATATTTAAAATGCATAAATTGTAGCTGTGTATGCATACAGACATTTTAGACAACTCATTTTATTTTTATGCTGAATGATAAAATTGAATCAAAAATGTTCACTTCACGTACATGCAAAATTAATATATATCGCACTTTTTTCCTAATGGTTTTTGTAAATTGTAAATTCGATGTAAATCGCAAGTCTAGATGTATGTGTAAATGCAAACTGTGAAATGTAAAGTTTAAGTTGTTAATTGTTCTTTTTTTCGTGAGAACAGAGAGTCAATTTGAGGAAGGGATTGATCAACTTAAAGATGTAGTCTATGAAGATACTTATTCCATACATTTTCAAAAGTTCGCTGTTTTCAATGGAAGGGTCCATTCAATTGGACGGGAGAAATCTTTAAGCAAATGCGTATGTTTGTGTACACGTATAGTGACATAGCCAAGAGTTTCTTCGCGGAGGGAGGGGGCGCAAAATGGTGTGGCCCATAGAATAACTGAATTTTGATTTTTTCCCACCCTCCAGGAATGGGGGGGGGGGGGCACCCTTGCACTTCTCCTTTGGCTAAGCCATCGCACACATACATATAGCAGCACAAGTATAAACGCCTCATAATAGCAGACAAACAAAAAATGAATAAATAAACGAATGAGTAATTTCGCCCGTCAAAAACGTCACTGAATAATGAATGCTTTCATGAATCATTAAAAACCGCTATAAAATCGAACGAACACATAACAGAACTCGTTATTGATTAAACACCACCGAAATCGTGTGCTCTTTCAGATTAGCTCGTCGATCGCTTCGAACTAAGTGTTCTCACCATATTTTATCTTATAGTCTCTTCTCCTCTCCAATAAGTTACAACAGAAAATAAGCAATATTTCGCGTCAGCAATTACTTTAACTCATTTTTTCTCCTCTCCACTTAATTTATTCATTTCCCTCATCTCTCATCTTACATCCTCCAAATGTAATCGTAATCTGCATCTTTTATTGTTATTATTATTATTATTATTATTATTATTAATTATTGTTCGTATTATTTATTGTTACATGATTATTATTTTTTAATTATTATTATTCGTACTATTATTATCAGTAGCGGTACTATACAAAACAAACAATCAATTACTTACAATCGCTTTGAACATCTCGCTGCAAACCTAGAAAATATAATGTGTATACATATATATTTGCTCAATATTTTTATGTAATACAATAAACTTCTTTACATATAGTAATATCAGACTTCTTTGCACAATTCGTCTACAACCATCGTTCTATTATTCAAACAATTTGCATCATTTATTTTTGCTGCAATATGATCCAACGCAATTCCAGTTGTTCGCGTTACATAGGTTTTATTTGTACTCATGCTTTTATCATATTGTATATGTACGAGCCCCTGTTTCATTTGTTCCTTTCAGAGGTAGCCACCTCCTTCTCCTCCCTCTCCACTACACCTTTCAGTCGGCATCGATAATTCATATCTGGCAATGCCTCAAAAGTCTCCTGTCGCAGCCGTCAATTTAAAGAACAAACGATACTCCAATAAACTTACCTTTACGAATATCTAATGGCAAACGAAATTTCAGACTCCTCGTTATATTTTACGTATAACTAATAAATAAATATAGTTTAAAAAATCTGAACAAAGAAATGAATATAACTGAGTCAGATCATATGCATCAACATATGCAAATGACTGAATCGAACGCCAGTCAAACGGGTGCTCACAAAGCCATGAAGTCAATGATGCACCACGGAATGTCAATGACATTCCATTTTGGTGATGATGAGACTATCCTGTTCAAATTTTGGGCTGTTCACAATGCTGGATGTTAGTTGGTGCTTCTTTTACCTTATCTAATGGTCACTTCCAGTTTGCACATAATACAACGTTTGGTTTTGATGAGTGCAAACTGTGTTTGAATGAAAACAATCGACTTTTTTTTTGAGCGATTCAATCCGACAAGTAATAGAGAGAGGTAGATTTTTTTGAACTCGATCGAGCGAGCGATTGTGTTCAAATGCATAGTGATCAATTGCAGTTATGGTATTGTCATGCTTCATCATTATCGTGTTGTGCTTCATCATGGAGGGTATTCGATGGTTTCGATCGTTCCGGAAAGCAAGCAAACGGCAAATTCGCTCTGCTCCATCCATCAATGAACAACCTTCATTCTTCCGGTGATTTCGCGCTTTCTTCTGTTTCGCAAAATTCGATAATCCACTCCATTTTGATAACAACTAGCCACCAATCAAAAGTGCGCGCTACACAGTTATGGATAAGATCAGAGTTTCAGTTCATATTCTTTAGGGAAAACGATTGCAATCCAAAACAACTGTATAATCCATCCACATATACGTAAGTGTGCATGCTAATAAGAAAAGTTTCATTTTAAGACCGCATATAAGTGTTGCATTATGCATTGATACTGTACTGCATGCTGTGCAATTAACGATCAGTTATATTCTGATGTTATTATTTATGACGTTCAATGTGTGGCTTTGCATTGCGGTTGTTCTCGGTGAGGTATTGGGTCGTTTCATTTTCAACGCTTTCTTCCCGACCGCTGAATTAAGTGCTAGTCAGGTAACGTTCAACTCTAATTGCTCATCATCTTCTAACTTCCATGCCTAGCATACATAATTATTGCTCAATTCACAGTGGTTATTGTTGTAATGATCATTGGTAGTTAGCGTTTCAACAAGTTGTAATTTGGTTCAAATTCGTGTCTCTCAGTTGTAATTGGCATTTTGGTAAACCTACTTCGAGGTCTTTTCGTGACTACCGAGAAATCTTCGATATTTAGTGCCATCTCGTCGAGAGCTTCACAACCACTTTTGGCTTCCGTTAACTGCGAATACTCTAAGCCTAGCCACTGCTTTATTGGTTCATGCCAGTGTTTTTTGATGTGAGCGGTATTGCATGCTTCCAGACGGTGAAAATGTTATGCAAGAGGTGCGATTTTGGCAAAAAAAAGGAGCAAAACTTGAAAATATAGCAATGTTATCCACACGCTCTTCGCAACTTATTGCTCATTAAATACGGCTAGGACGCGGAAGAAGATAGAGGCGATTGGCCGAAAAAGATTCAGAAGCACTGATTTACTCGCATTAGTCTAGTCAATTCGGAAAATTTCTTTAGGAACCTTAACTTGGTTATTTGCAAAGTTTTTCACAAACAATAAAATCATCATGAGGTAATATCCCGATGTGTTATCGTTTTATAGCATTCAGTCAATAACAACACTCTTTTCTTCTTAGATTTTGAAATAGCTAAGAAATTTATTCGATAGATCCATTCCATTGTGATCACTCAAATGTAGTAGCAAATGCATTTCTAAACAGTTCACGACTGAATCGAAAATCACCACACAACCATTCATTTTCGTCACCACAACAGATCAGTTCTTGGTTTCTCCGCATTTTTTAATGACCTCATTTCAACACATGATCCCAATCGAAATTTTAAGAAATTTTTTGTTTAGGTACAGCCCTCGTCAAGAAGTCACACAAAAAGGATCACATTAAATGAAGAAATGAAAGAAATGCATTATTAGAATACAGAAATATTCACCTATTCATTCAATCTGTTATATTTTCATGGACTATCGATTTCCATTGACATTATTTATCTTGCTGTTCAATTGGAGACTATTCATATATGTCGATCATTCAAATAGAAAATACATGACGATGATGAGGATGATAATGAAAAATTATGCAACTCATAGTCAGTGAAAACCATTCTTCGGTTGCTTTTGAAAATTGATAATGAAAAAATGACAGCCAGAAGAAATCTTTCAGAGATTTAGCTCTTTTGGTTCTATTTTAAGCCATGGCTAAGGTTTTCTTTCGGTCCAATAAATTAATTCTTTCTTTACGCTGAAAGCAATTCATGAAAAAGTAATATAAAATAAAATAAAACGATAATGATGAGAATTTTATTACGACTGCCTAACAGTAATATTAATTACGTTGATAATGCCCAAACATTAGATTTGAAACAGACTAAATACAAATCGTTCATCAATTTTTATTTTCTCAGGAAGCATCGGTGGAAAACTGCTGTGGTTGAACAATCGAGATGTGCTGAATGGCTGCTGAGTTTAGGAAAAAAATCTTTGAAACACTCATAAAAGTTAAAATTCTACTTAAGCAACCTTCAGTTCCAGTTTATATGCCAATGATGTCACTGTACCAAAAAGTAGTTGTCCTTTCTTGTACGGTACTTGAGTACGGGGCAGAACTGTAACAAAAATAAAACTTACAGATAATTTTTAATTCATCCCCGTTCTAATATATACAGCTCTTGTGTGATGTTGAAAACCGCTGATGCATTTGCTATAGTGCAAGTATATTGTACCCTTTTTTTTAAAATTTACCGTTGTAAAGTAAATCTGTTCTGGAAAATCAACGGCTCGACACGTTACAGTTTTGATTTTTTTTTGTAGTTTTGGGGAAAATTATCGTAGAAACTGAAGGAAAGGAAGTGGTACAGTGCCATCTTTGGTACACACTCAATTCTGTTGATAGAATTCAACGAGTATGGCACTTCACTTATTTTCGCATCTAATTCGTTATGAACGTTTAATTATTGTTAAGAAATCATTATTTATAGCGCTGAACAAACATGTCGTTAATGGAATATATGAAAGATTACGTGTAATAAATATGTGTTAATTTATTAAGTTTGTGCATAAGTGATTAGATAAATGAATAAACACAGACAGACGTTTGCAATGTACAGTATGAATTACTGTGAGATCGTAGCGTAAATTCACCTGCTCATTGATCATTTTATTACTTTATTTTATTACTAAGAGTAAATTTTAACCATATTATAAGGATGCGTTGTTGTTTTGGGTAACCAAGCCGATGAATTGAATTTCGTATCGAATTAATTCTTTGTATTCAATCTTTACGCCATACATGATTATCGTTTCGCTTTCATAATGATGTGGTAAACAAACCATTTGAAATCGGAGAATTCTTGTACATGGAAAAAATATTATTTTTATTATTTTTATCGTGATTATGATTACTGTAGATGTGACCAAGGCGATTATCATCACTGCCATTGACTTGTTTTCATTACTACTACCTGTTAGCTGTGCACTGCGGGTGGTCGTTATTGTACGTTATCGTCCGTGTTACGTATTTCCAGCACTGCCCGTTTCCGTGGCGAAATTGGAGTGCTTAAATGAGGTGAGGTGTTGACAGTTCGATTGGCTATGCAACAAAGTTTGTTCTTAAATTATTTATTCAACATGTTCGATATACAATATGTGCATCAAAACAACATTTTTTTTCCGGTGCCATAGTCTCAATTAGAATAAAATTTCAAGGAATACAGATAAATCACATCAAATTCATCGTAACAATAAATAAAAACACAAAGGCTCAGCAGAGTTTCAACAACAAAAGATACTATTTCAGAAACACTGACAAGTATTCATATTAAATGGAAGAAAGTGAATCATCATAAGCAATTATCAAATGGATACAGAGAGAACAATTCAAAAAACAAGTCTGTAGAAAAATTACCAAAAATAAAATTCAGTACTTAGAGCAGTGGTAAGACTGAAATCGTGACGAAAAACGCAGTTGTGAGAATGGTGTTAACAAAATTACAAATAACGATTAATAATAATAACCGAAATGTCAGCAAATAGAAACAGTCTTATCGTTAGATATAAACGTTAACCGAGGATGATCTGCAATGGTGTTCACGGAAATTATATAATTACTTAATCCATAAATCTCATAAATTCACTGAAGAACTCAAAATGGCATTCCCAAGCAAAATCCTAAGTATACGTGAGAAATTCAATCATTCTAAAGGATTCACTGTATGGAATATATCGAAAAAAGCGAGTATGAAGAGGTTCAATCAAGTGATTCCAAAAAAGTACAACTCAAACATCTCAGAAGAATTCAACGATATAACCTGATGATTATGGAACACAAAAATGCAGCTTATTCCCACCAAGTGATTGTTAAGAGTTTAATATGAAAATACCATGATATTCAAATGACCTGATCAGTAAACATGAAGACGTTTAACTCCTTCATGAAATCCGAAGGATGAAACAGCATTCATTGCTTATTGTTGGAACTACTGCATTGCTGCGTTGGCGAATCGTTCCTGAATGTTCGTTACGTTGAGGTACACGACTAAACTGAAAAAGCGATTTAAAGGAATGAAAACATTACAGATTATTCGGAAAAATGTGAATGAGAGTGAAGTAGTGATACGGGTGCAGTGAATGAGAATAAAATCACGATGTGGTGTAGCAACAACACACTCGGTGACGTTTGGGATGAGAGTAATAAGATATCATTTGAAGTAGACATAAAAATTTTTGAACGATTATGGAAAATGAACAGGCAGAAGAGAACAGTTTTCAGTGGAAGAGTTGTTTGGAAGAGCTGCGCACAACTCAACATTAACATGCTTCACATGCACCTCCACACAACTCTCCTTCTGTAGTCTATAAGTGGGTTTTTATTTCCAATCATCACGATCTCTCATCACTCTCATATCTGATTTTGCTAACCACAATAGTTTTCCATTGAATTGTGATATTTCTCTCATTCACTTCAGTCATATCACTGATTCGCTCTCATTCCTTCTTTCTCCAGAAACCTACAATCCAGAAAATTGTGCAACCCACAATTTCAGCACAATTCAATTTCCAATAAAAGGGAAACGATGTGGCATCCTGCGACAAAGCTACTTTGTACGGTTTTTTGCTGAACCATCGTATGAAGAGTGAATTCTGATTCAAGAAATGAATCAATGCTGGACGAAGAGATTTTGTTTTTTTTTTTGAAATGCCGTCTCGTTCAAAATCATACATTGACCACATAGACTTACAGTGCATACCGCTATGGGTATCATATATGGCATGTTCAGGTGGCTATCAGCATAATATTTGTTCTTAAGCTTTATATAGCGGACAACTTCCGATCCGAAAAAAAGAACATATAAATACAACTAAAAAAAATACAACTCAAACACATAGATCATAGTACCATGAACTGGAGATGATTTCAGATATATCACGTTCAGGCGAGCGATATCCTCAGATCTTGTCAGCATAATGATTTCTGTAGTATAGGATAGGAGTTCTGCCGAATAGAAGGTATTATGCATTGTTGGACGAAAAATTTAGTTATTTGATGTGCAGTATCTACAAAAATCTCACCTTGAGCACATTGACTAGCAATATCAACCGCAAGAATCTTATTTGGCGCGTTCAGATGACCGATATCTCCGGAACTGACCAACTGTGTGGCATCAAATTTCAACCTTTGTGTAGAACATGGTATAGAGAGTAAGAAAAATAGATATGTTCTTGGCAAACGAGCTGTAGCTTCCTTTAAAAAAAGTTCAAATGGATGATGAGAAAATAATTCAAAACACAATGCTGTGGAAAAATTACTGAAAATAAAACTCAGTATTTGAAGCAGTGGTAACATCGAAATCATGACGAAAAACGCAGTTACGGGAATGGTGTTAACAAGATTATGGATAACGAATAATAATAACTGAAATGTCAGCAAGTAGAAGTAATCTTAGAAATAAACGTTAACCGATAACTTACTATAACAGCACAAACAGGGGAAAGATTC